CCCAGGTCCACCTCTCCCACGAGGGCCTGGGCCACTGGGATACGCGCCGTATGGCGGTGGACCCATCTGGCGATCACCCCCATAGGGACCGCGGCCGAATCGTGCGTCAGGACCGCTTGACCCGAATCTTCCACCTCTGCCATAACTGTCACCATGATCTCTTCCGGGCGGACCACGGCCAAACCTATTTCGATCGTCACTGCGGTCCCGATAGCTGTCGTAGCCACCTCTAGAAGGGAAAAATGCGATTAGCAGACATTAAAATGACACCATTCGGTCACACATTTGAAATCTTTAGCACCTCGTATCTCGACGATCACGATTATCGCGGTAAGTAGGTGACCGACTGTAGCCGTCAGGTCGTGAGCGGTCACTCCTGTCGCGGTCACTAAAACGACTTTCTCGACCATGATCACGAGGGTGGTCCATTCGCTGCCGCTTTTCTGGTGGAGGTCGATTGGAGCGGCCTTCGACGTTATACTTTTTCACAAGCTCTTCAGCTTCCTCCCGTCGCAGTTCGGTGAAAATTACATCATCAAACGGGCTGGATGGATCTTCACTCGAAGGCTTCGGTATTTCGAAATTAGCTAAAAGAGAATTAAGCAGATTAGGGCAGTACGTCAAACAGTCAAAAATAAGAATTCGAAAAGGGATTTATCTTTTTGGACAATATAGTATTTAAGAGCGCATGTTGCGATCATTGTCATCGCTCTTTTCGTGTTCAACAAAAGCTCTAACTGAGCTCGATCGACAAACCTTCTGGGGAATATTCAAGAGGTATTTCCGTCTGCATCCTATACGGTATAACGGATATCGGGATTCATAAATGAAATGATTTAAATGCTGTTGGGTAGCTGAAACAGACCTATCGAAATTTGTAGTTAAATCTGCGGCGGCAACTCTCAGCTACGTGTAAAAACCGACCCCAAAGGGCGGTTGGATGGAAACGCCTTGTCATCTGCTTTGCATTTATTCTCAGTTAGACAATGTTATTGAAGCTAAACTTACCCGCTATGGTTGAGACAACTGAACTAAAATGTCAACGTATCAGATAGTGAATTAAGGCCAGGTTCGGTAGTGAGTTGCACGCCAATATTATCGCCCCATCGCACAAAGTTAACTACCTTTCATTTCGAGTACCGCATTCTCAGGCACTTCTTTGCCCTCTTCTTTTTCGCGCTGGGTAATCCGCCGTCTGAATTCTTCGTCTGTGGGAACGATAACAATTGCCTTCCGTTGAAAACCCTCAAAAGGGCGCATTTTACGACGCTGTGCAGACGGATAGACATTTGTCTGTGTAGCCGAGAATCAGGATGGGCGGGTTCCGAGTAACCGATTCGAATAGGGAAAAAACAATCGAAATCGATTTGTAAATGATCAATTATCTGTAAGCCACAAGGCACAATGAACCAGTGAGTAGTAGTGTGGCAAAGAATAAACATTCCAAAATGAACATGAAGCTAGCTCAAATGGGGAACAGTAAAGCTGCTTCCGAGTTCTCGAGGATTTTACTCAAAAGTTTGCTTTAAACACCCACTGGCACTTTGGGTAACAGAATGACGCTAAAAGACAAAATATTCCCAGATGTTTGGTTTGTTACAAACCTAAATAGCCATCTCAGTCTCTTAGTAAAGAGAAAACTGAAGAATCCGCTGAAATAAATAGCTCAAAGGAGTATAGGAGGAAAATATCAGAGGTGCTGGTTTCCGCAGTCAATAAAGTGTACACTAACCGGTAGTTGTTATACAAAAAACGTACCTGGTCAAGGATGTAGTTTCTGCGACGCTTGCATGCAAGCGATATTAAATTATTTAAACACTGAGTTGCCTTCTCGATTAAGACATCCCAGCGTCCAGCGTAGTTCCGTTTCCTGTTGAGACCAGAGACCTAAGAAAAATTCACGTGAAGTTTTTAGAGACAAGTTATACAAAACTATTCAGTTACAGGATATTCGCATAAAAACAGTATACTAATACCTCAGAGAAGCAACTTGTGTTAAAGATCGTTCGGTGAGACGTACGCCTAGTTGGTTAAACAACGGACTAGAGACATAAGCCAAAAACAATCGTGCAGAGAGAGACCCTTATGTTGGTTACGGCAATAATAGCAGTGGCCTTATGTGTATTGATTACACAGTCACCGTCCCTGTTCTCGGGCAAATGGTGGACATCTTCGCTTGCGATGGTCGAACTAACATTGATTACGCTACACAAGTTTAATAAACTATAAAGCCATTTTTAAACAACCTATCCAGCATCTACTGTGGTCCATAAACGCTGAAGGGCCTAGAGTGACATTTAGGCCTCGATAAGGGAATTAGAGTCCTAAAGGCACGCATAAAGGTGATTAGTGTACAAGTGTGGAGCAAGCAAGCAGCCTCTAACCTTCATCTTGTCCAAGATAAGATTCGTGCCCAGCATATTAAATTGTTTTTCCTTGTGTTGCTTGCACAAGTTTTCAGCATAGTACGTCTTGCCACAGCCAGGA